AAGAAATGTTGGAAGATTTCGAGAGAGAGTTTGCAAAATCGACACACGAACCTGGGGAGGTGAAGCAGCTGAATCTCAAAACCCTAACTTACGCCGCAACAAGTTTTATAGTGGAAACTGAGAAACCCTAAATACTTTGTTGGGCCTCGAATAGGCTTTGTACCACAATCATCATCTAACCCAGTAAAAAGAAATTGGGCCTTTGCACAAAAAAAATCTGATAAAAAAAAATCATTGAATTTATGTTTTGGACAAAGGAAGATGAGAAGATCACTACAAAATTATTTTGCTTTCATTGTCATGTTATTGGCGTAAAAACATACAATTTTGATTTTGTCTCACCAGAGCTGGCTAATTAATCAATAATGGAAGTTTTGACCAAACCAAAGCAGAAAAAAAAACCATTTGGTCACCAAACTAAACAACAATCTTTTAAGAGAACAACAAGCCTGCTCTATATCTCTAATATTTTACAAGATTTGTGACGAAGAAAGCTTTTGCTCAATTGGCTTCTACCAATTTCCAAAGGTTCTTCTATATCTTGGGTCGGTTGTATCTAACACAGTTTTTATACTAATTAATAAGAAAAAAAATAATACAAAGTTTCAAAGGTCACATATACTTGATAACCATGTCACGGGGTCCTTTAATTGCAGTTGAATCTCAGCTGTACACGTGTCTATGATGACTCCTCCAATCACGTGCGAGATCCCAAATCCATTGAAAACACGCCACGTGGATAATTAACAGAGACGTCTCTTCTAAGGCTGGTCCAAGTATCTCTGTGGAATGTCTTACTACCACAACAGTCGTAGTAGCTAGCCTCAATCTTTCTCTTAATTACCAATTTTACCCTCGCCGTCTCTTCAAATTTCCATTTCCTTACCACTACTCTCTCTCTCTCTCCAAATCAAAAACACAGCTTCCCCCGCCGCCGCCGCAATTCTCTCGCCGGAAAAATGGTTGAGCCAGCTAGTCAAGATTCCGACGAAGGGATCTCGCTGCTCGAGTTTCACGGTAACGGTGACCGTTCCTGGCAGTTAAATTTCGATGATTTCCAGGTTTCTCCGGAGCACAAGGAGAAGAAGACTCCGAGTAAACTACACAACTGTCTTGGTTGTTTGGGTAAACAATTTGCTTCTCCTCTCCACATTTCCATTTTCTTTTCGTCTTCTTCAGTTTCAATCTTTAGCAGCAGCTGATAACATTTGAATTTGGCGTCTTTTGTTTGCTATCTTTAGCATTTTTTGATTCTTCAAACATATATTTTACTATTGTTATGAAGTTGAGATTTAGTTGAATCTTGGTAGTGATTAGTCTAGAGTTTATTAATCCTGATCCTTGATTTTTGTCTCTAATCTTTCTTTTGGATGTTGAAGTAATGTTAACAGATATGGTTTTGTGAAGAGATCAGATATGTGATTTTGTGAAGCTATGTGTATTGGTGATTTCAGGTCCGGAAGACAATGTAGCAGATTATTACCAGCAGCAAGTAGAGATGCTTGAGGGCTTCACTGAAATGGATGAACTTGCAGAACGTGGCTTTGTTCCTGGAATGTCAAAGGTTAGCTTAGATGATGATGATGCTACTTGTCTCTTCTCTCACATTTGTTGAAAACTATGATACATTTGTTCTCTGGCTTGTGTACATAGGAAGAGCAGGATAATTTGGCTAAAAGCGAGACATTGGCGATTAGAATATCAAACATTGCAAACATGCTTCTTTTTGCTGCTAAAGTCTACGCTTCTGTCACAAGTGGCTCTTTAGCAATCATTGCCTCCACATTGGACTCTCTTCTTGATCTTCTTTCTGGCTTCATCCTGTGGTTTACCGCCTTCTCCATGCAGACACCCAACCCGTATCAGTATCCCATTGGCAAGAAACGGATGCAACCACTGGTTTGTATCATCCTTTTAAAGACTATGCACATTTATCTGTCTTTCATTATATGTTATGTTATTGATTCAGCCTAAGCAAGCTTGCCAAGCTTGTTTTGAGCTATTGATTTCTCTGTTCAACTATTAACAACTACGACAAGTCTACAAAGTTTTTTCTGTTACTCAATGTGATTCTTGGTTCAAATCCTTTCAGGGAATCCTAGTCTTTGCATCAGTGATGGCAACACTTGGATTGCAGATTATCTTGGAATCTCTTCGCACGATGTTATCCAGCGTATGTCTGAAACTTGATCACCTAGCTTTGGTCTAGAGCTATGAAAGTCATACATTATTCACGAAATCTCTTTCATACAGCACAAGGAGTTCAGCCTAACAAAAGAGCAAGAGAGTTGGGTAGTTGGGATCATGCTTTCTGTTACATTGGTCAAACTGCTTCTGGTTCTTTACTGCAGATCCTTCACTAACGAGATTGTTAAAGCTTATGCTCAAGATCACTTCTTCGACGTCATCACAAACATCATCGGACTCATTGCAGTAATCCTGGCCAATTACATCGACGATTGGATTGATCCAGTTGGAGCTATCATTGTAAGTTTCCAAATTTTTAAAAACAAAATTAAGTTACCTTACTGAAATTGTTTCTTAATTCATGAAGCTTGCATTATACACGATACGGACATGGTCAATGACGGTATTGGAGAACGTGAACTCTCTTGTTGGGAAATCAGCTAGACCAGAGTATCTGCAGAAACTAACTTACCTGTGTTGGAACCACCATAAAGCAATTAGGCACATTGATACAGTGAGGGCTTACACATTTGGCTCTCATTATTTTGTGGAGGTTGACATTGTTCTCCCAGCTGACATGCCTCTGCAAGCGGCTCACGACATTGGAGAATCGCTGCAAGAGAAGCTCGAGCTGCTAGAGGAGATCGAACGGGCTTTTGTGCATCTTGATTATGAGTACACTCACAAACCCGAGCACGCTAGATCCCACCGTTAGCTGTTTCTCCTTTTCAAGTTCTCTACGTTTCTAAATCTTTACAAATTAATCTTCACTGTATTGTTGTTTAGTAGACAATTGTGAGATAAAGGAGTACCTTTGTAACTATCTACTTTTGTTTTGCGTGTTTCATTTAGCAACAAGATTATAACTTCTCTTCCAGTCTCAATGAATAAAGTAGACATATGTTAAATTAGTCTCAAGCAGAAGACATTATAGAAACCACACAAATTGCACAAAAACCATTAATAGTTTATTCTCTGATCAACATTTTCAAATGGATCTTGTCTTGTGCAGATAAGGAGTACAGCGACAGCAACTTTTTCTGTAAGGCTCGGGCCGCCAACGCCTAGGACTCGAAAACCGCCACGGTTTGATAACGCGTAAACGCCGGATAACACGCTGATACTTACACTTGTTTTCTGCACTCAAATCCTGATTCTTGGGACTGAGGCATCTTGTATGCTCATAGAAGCTTCTTCTAATGTGATCAACATCGTCACACGGGTCGTCCTCACTCTGATTCTCACCCTTTTTTGGTATAATTTCTAAACTCTGATGCTTACCCATGAGACTGAAACACCCTGTACGCTCATCAAAGTTTCTTCTAGCTATAGCTATGCGATCAACATCCTTACCCACCCGAGCCTCGTCCTTGTAACTTATGTAGACAGTTGCATTTTTGGCATTGAGTCCCTCATTCAGATCTTGGATATCTATTGCCACATTCACAATCTTCAAGTTGGACAGATCAGGATCCTTTTTGTCACTTGTATATTTGGCGACTGCAAGTTCCAAATATAGCCGAATCCAGTCATTGTCTTGCATCTCTGAATTATTCAACTGCAAAAGCAAAACATATATATCATCACTCACTACTAATTCTTGATCATGAGCAAAGCAAAAAACTCAAGAGTGTCTGAAATCTTACCACGTAAAACCGCTTTCCATCGTCGAAAGGATCCTCTGTCGGCCACTCAGGCATGTTACCTGGGAAGTAGCATGTACCCCCGTCGAACTTATTGGTTTCCCCTAGACAATATATAATCAGCAAGTGGAAGACAAAGAAATATTGCAACAAATGAACAAATAGCACAACAAGTCAGCATTCTTACCTCGGATCCTAGAAATATTGCACTTCAAAACAAAGGCGGCAAGTTGACCTTCATCAATTCTAGTCTGAAAAGTTTGGAGCAAAGAGGTAGATGGATCCACAGCAACCAAAGTTATGAAGTAACTCGTAGCAGCCATAATCAATCTGTAATGGTATTTCTTTACGCGAACGAACTGATAGTTTTTTCCCTAATTGACGTACACATCAAGAAACACATTGATTAAGTAAGTAAGTAATGTGGTTCTCTTATATAAAGATAGCATCATGTGGTAAAAAGAAAGAAGAAGAGAGTACCTTAAGCAAATTGTAACGATGAAGGCCCATCTTAGCATAAAGCTTGACTAAGCTACAACAAGGAGACCGATCATTACAGATCACTTCCCGCACTAAGGAACCCTTGGCATCGAACGGCTAATTATATAAGATCCATTGTTAGAAAAAAATCAAATATTAAGATCCTATCAACATAAAATAAGATACCCTAGAAATAGAGGAGTGTGACAATTCGAATCAAAGGAACACTAGTCATTATAACGAACAAATCCCAAAAGAAGGAACCCTTAGAGAAGCAGAGGATTGTGACAAATTCGACCGACACTAAAGGAACACTAGTCAGTCAGTTATGACAAAACAAAACCCAATCATGGTTAAAAAGTATGTATATAAGAATGATGGAAGAATTTACACTGCATGTAGGCATAGGTTCTGCCAAATGCTTCTCTCCCTCAGCAGTCGGCCCTATTGTGCTTGGTCTATCCTTCGTCCTCAAGGTAGTGGTTCCAAATTTCGGCGGATGGATGCTTTTGGTCGATTTATATACTATAGGCTTTGATTCGGTTTGGTAATTAACCAAAGCCATTTCGGTTTGAGAGTTCGGTTTACTCTTGAGTTATTGGAGTGTGTTTTTGTCCCACATCGAGAAGCCGAGCCGTGAGAGTCATGTGAAGACTAGTATAAAGCGTTGAAGGTGAACGACGAGAAAAATTGCCTTAAACTAATGAGTAAGGAAAACAAAGCGAACGGTGAGAGCCGGTCGCAGACTCGCAGCGCTAAATCGTAAAACATTGAAAATGGCGCAAGAATTTATGGAAGGGTAAATAGGCTGGTACGAGTGTTGACGCTGCTTACTTTTGCAGAACTCTCTTGTGCGGGCCTCCCCATCCCCCATTAATAATTAGTTCAATTTAAAACCAAAAATTATATAATTTGCTGTTGAATTAAAGAATCAAATGGATTTTTTTTATTGCTCGGTGAATCTCGATTTTTTAATTGTTCACTCAGTTTTTTTCGGTTATCTGAAATTTCGACATAAACGCCAGCTTGAGTACGGAGCTTTACATCGAGAAAGATTTTAGTGTAAGTTGTTCTGTCTTTTTTTGTTGATTGCTTTAATTTTTCAATTACGAATCTGTTAGTTGAGTTTCGACTGATTGGGTGTCTGTTTTGTTGTTCTTAATATGATCTGCTCCAAAATTGAGTCAAAATTCGAAGAGGTCATGGTTGCTTGGGGTGTTGAATTTTTTTAATGGACTTGATTGATTTGGTTTGAGATATTTTCTTTGCTTTGTAGTTTCTGGAATCATCTTTTGTAACATTGGCTTTGGTTGGAGCCATATTGATGGAGTTAGAGATGATAGTTCTGGATTGATGATGATTTCATTTTCTAGTCTGGGAATTTTTTAGTTTATACTTTGATGACAGTCTCATTTTCTTGGCAAGAGAAGCAACTGTGTGCTTTGATATCTGTGTCATGTACAACTTTGTTAGCACCTGTTGGATTTTTTAGGATTCGTTCCTGACCATTGTTCCTAGAGTTTGGATGCATCATAGATTTGAACCCAAGAGCTTTCCCATTTCTGATATTTATGTTTCCAAGTCTTATGCAATGTACCTGATTTTAGCTCGTTTTTGTGTAGTCCTTCAATTTGGTCTTTCTTGATCTTTGCAGTAATTTCTCAGTCTCTTCCTTTGTCCAAAACATGGAAGAAGCCCATTCAGTGAGTAGTCCAAGACGAGTTTTAAGCTTCTCGAAGAGAAAGAAGCAAAAACCTGGTTTCCAGGATACAGACAGTAGAAGGTCATCTCCATTTAGAGCATCAGAAGTGCATGGACCCAAACCCTCAGAGGTTTACGGTTTTGTAGGGTCGATATCGACTGTTGTTGCCACAGTGATCTTCTTGATTTGGGCATATGTACCAGATAAGTTGTTGGAGTCTATAGGAATCCATTACTACCCAAGCAGGTACTGGGTATTGGCTATGCCGACGTATTTGATGGTGACCCTGATGTTAGCTTTGGCTTTTTACATTGGTCTCAACTTCATTGCCACTCCACCTCCAACCTCTCTCAATACCTTGTTTGGTGAGTGCCATTGCAAATAGCTAGCTATAATGTTTCGAAATGTTGTATCTGCAGGGCGTGGTTTTGGGAGTTTGATACGATGATGATAATTCTAATTTTGTTTGTTTTGTTTGGTATGGCAGATGAGTACAGTAGAGAACCTGGGGAATTTGATGCTGGGATGGAGGAAGGTGAAGACAGGCCTATAGATCCGATCTCTGACATTGATATTACAAGAATCAATGATCTTATGTTCAATTCTAGTGATGCCAAGTGATAAAATTTTCAAATTCTCTAGAGGTAATAACCATATTGACTAATCCATTACTCTCATTAGTAAATGGATTCAGGTTTTAGTGACTAGAGTGATTCAAGTGTAAAAGGAAATCGTGATTAATGATGAGCTCCAGTGATGGATCCTTTTAGTGTTGCACTATCATTCTTCTTATATGTCAACCATTACCAGTAGAAATAACCAATTGTGGGGTCATGTGACCTGTTCCTAATCTAAGAGTTATAGTGACCTGTTCATGCCGGGAACAACTAACTAATTGGGATCATGCCAAAAGAACAAGCATCCTAAAGTGATTATTTAGGTAATGACACAAAACAGATGATGATCCATTTCCTCGGGCCTTCTTCTTTCTGCAACTTATATTACCACTCTGCAATCATATTTTTCTCAAAACAACCACTTCTTCTTGTGACTTCTCTGAGAACTCCACTTCTCATCTGTTGGATCCTTGGATTAAATGCTTCATATATAACAGCAATCCTGGTTCAAAACTTGAAGTCTACTCCGAGATTTATCCCTTAGAACTCAACTCTGTACTGAACCTCTTTCATAACTTGAATCCCTGCTTAGCAGCCGTGAGTCTTTGGTGATGAAACCAGCACTAAGCACAGACTTGTATTAGCCTTATATGCATCGAACCTATCTTGTTCTCTTTGAATCCTGGAACCAATCACACGGAGTCTTCTACCTATATATGCCGCACACCATGAACGTGATTCAGTATTGTAACTGTCCATATCAACATCGGCAAACTTGATACTCTTGTTGACTTTTGATTCTCCTCTTGTGCACTGAACTTGGAATCAAACTTTTCTTGAATCAAATGCAGAAAACCAGAATCATCCGGTTAGTAAACAATGCATTAATTAACTTAGATTGTATTGTACTTACAATCATTTGTTTAACCACTTCAGCCTTGAACAAACTTGTACCGCCATTTAAACTAACAGAACAAGCCTATAACCATCTTTTGTTATGAAGTTTCCTAGCAACTTATAAAGAGACATATAAAATATTTACATATCAAAGCTAAGAAAGTTGAAGTAGTGGCTATTTGTGAAAAGTTTGTTTTTGACTTTGTTAAAAGATGAAAGAATTTTTTTAAAATTGGTGTGTTTTAAAAAAAAGATTCTCAAAGAAACAAAAACCAAGAACTAGTAAACAAAACATTCAGGCCATTTTAGAACCCACCTTGGAAAAACCACAAAAGCCCTAATTAGCATTTTTCTCTGAGAGACCAATTCTCTCAATCATTTTTAGCTTCTCCGTCGTGCGCTTTTGCTTGATTTTGTAATGTAAGACTTGTGTTTGGCATTTTGTGATTTCCGTTTTATTTGCTTCTTCTTCTCTGCTGTTCTGTATTGATAGAGTTTAAATCTCGTCACCAAATTGATGTCACTTACATAAAAAATCTTCCTTTTTTCGAGTTTTGTTCGAACGAGAACTCAAAATCTGGGACTGGAGGGATATTTCTCATGTATTTAGCTCCTGGGTTCATTTGGTTATCATCTTTGAGGTATCAAAATTGATACTTTATGGATTGATATATAAAAAAAACAGAGAACAAATTTTGATAGATTAGGTTGTTTTCTACTGTGATTTTGTTATAAGACGATTGCTCATATAGGTTGATTAATACCAATTTGACTAGTGATTTATGGGTTTGGGATTTAACCCATTGTCCAAATTGTGGCAAAATTGGATCAATTCTTCTTCATTTTCTTTGGTACAGAAATCTGAGGAATTGATACAAGTGGGCTTTGATGGGAACCATAGACCTTAGAGCTGCTGCAGATGAAAACTCGATTGCGGATCTCAGGAGTCAAGTTCACCAGCTCCCTTGCTGCGTTAGATTTGATGGTCCTGCTGATGTTTCCCACTATTTCAAGCCTCAATCCAGTGGTAACAGAGAACACTTCTTTGTATATGTAATTCTGTTTTTCACTTGTGTATTGTATAGTGAGATTAATGTGGAGAGCTGTTGAATTTGTAGATGTTGAAATCGATGGAGTAAGAACTGAAGAAGCTCATTTCAGAGGAAGGAAGTTGCAGGGAGCAACTATCTCACTTCCTAGTGGCTATTCTGGTACCTTTTTCTCTTCTTTCTTACTGATGGAAAGGTGGAAACTTTTGAATTTCTTGTGGATATTTCTCAAGAGTGATGGAATTAATGTACATATTCCTGTTGATGGAGATCTTAGTTAGAAAGTTTTAAGATGTCCTGATGAATCTGCTACTATTTTTGATGTTGGAGAATTTATGTTTTGGTTATTGACAAGTCATTTGTGTTTGGCCTGTTCATATGTTATCCCTTCAGGCTTTGTGCTTGGACAAGCGAGTAACCTGAATGCTAATGGAAAGAGAAAAGCTTCTATGCCCGCAGAAGAGAACCAGTGTTGGGAAGTGAAGGCCAAATTCGACAACCTGACATATTGGAATCACGATAGTCTTCCTTCAAAGGACGATACTTTCTTACGTTCTTTTCATTGGTTTAGCATTGCAGAAGCGGTGAGTGTATGGTTCAATCCATCTCTTGTTGGCTTAGCTCATAAGTTGCGGTCTTTTTTTTTCTGTTCCTAACTTGATGGAGAACAATTGTTTGACTGCAGCTGCATAAACCAGTGAAAGTTGAAGATTTGGTTGTAGTATCACATTGTGGAAAGGATAAAATATGAAGTCGCATTAACCGTTTTGGGTTTTGAACAAAACATCTTGTGAAACTAGCAAGTAATCTAAGACATGTAATTCTCAAGGCTTGTTGGGTTAAGACTTGTTCGAGCATGGATCATGTATTTCTGTAAAACTTTTTTTCTAAGAGATGAAAAATGGTAGTTTTGATTTAGAGAATTTACTTCATAATCTTTAATAAACAAGTCATTACAAGCATTGGATTTGATTCGTGGATCATGTCTGGTCTAAAACGAGTCTAACAAGACTCTTCTGATTCCTCCTCCATCAGTTTTTTTTGGTCTGTTTTATGATTTGAAAAATCTTCAGAAAAGTCCAAACCGGACCAAATTTGTTGAGGATATGATAAGTTACTATATTTTCTGATATATCTATTTAATTTATGATTTTTGAAAAAAAAAAAATTAGAAGAAAATATTTGTCTATTCTAGCTTAGTTTTTGGTTTCCAAATTCCAATACATATATATATATATATTATTCTTGTAATTTTTTAACCTTGAGGGTTTATATTATTCAATTTTATGATTGTAATTGTTGTTAGCAAAAGACGATGCGATCCATTGAGTTTTCATGAATCATCAGTAAATGATCTAAATAGTTAGATAATTTATAATTAGCTAAAGTAATTAAACAAGATATGATTGTAATCCTTAAGAATGGTCCCTAAATTTGAGTTAAAAACTGCATATATGAGTAATGCATATACAGTTGTCCTTTTAGTGTTATTATTTTCAATATATTGGTTGTGTAGGTTTTTGTCACTTTGTCTACTATGTCTTCTTAAGTCAAATTATATTTTGCCATTTTAAAATTCCATTTCCATATATAAAAATATA